CCAGGCATCGAGTGGTGTGCCAGCAAGGACGCCGGACCCCAAGGGGGTGGATTGTGGGATCCCACATCGGTTGGAGAGGGGAACAAAACATTCCTTATAAGGGTGTGGAAACCTCTCCCTAACAAATGCGTTTTAAAACCTTGAGGGGAAGCCTGAAAGGGAAAACCCAGAAGGGAAAACCCAGAAGGGAAAGTCCAAAGAGGATAATATCTATTAGCGGTGGGCTTGGAGTTGGGCTGTTACAACTTATTTATAACTTAATAAGTGTTATTAAATATTATAAGCTTGTTTTTGAAACTAACAACAAATGACTCATTTGATAACTATGTGTTTTTTAGTTTTTGAAAATTGTGCTCGTTTTATTTGTTACCAGTTGTTTTTAATCGAGATGTAACATCATCTTTGCCTTCTTATGCAGTCAAATAAGCGAAAATCATGCCCGAAAATCAGTATTCCGATTGAAGAAACGAATATTATTAATGAGGCTGATTCTACCCGACAACCTCTTTCACCTTTGCAACATAACTCACCCGACTCGAGAACACGGAAGAAGTAGTTGCAACCCAAGAAAAACACAGGTTATCCCCCCTCCATTTTCAAGCATAGACTGAGCTAACATAGCAAAATTTGAATATAGATACACTATAACATAATCTTTTAGTAGAGAGAAGTATGTTGTTGAGCTCTTCTAAATGAAAGAGCCTTTCTTTCACTTCTGTGTTTCCTTTGCTGCTCAATGTTATCAAGGAAACTCTCTTCTTGGTTTCGTGCCAATGTAGCTGAATTCTTGTCTGATTCCAATTGATACTTAGGCTTTGGATAAAATGTTGTTGCCATTTTGAAACTTGTTTGAATGCCCATACATCATATTTAGGAAGTTAAAAAGGTATAGAATGTTTGGAAAAGCGTGTCGTGATCTTGTTGTTAGGATGCTATTTCGGTGCATGGTCAAGTTCTTAAGGTATATGTATGTGTCTGAACTATCGTGGATCTACATTTTTCAGGAATTAGATGATTGTTGATGAAATAGCGTATAGGTCTGGATGGGATGATACGAAATAAAGTAATTGCCAAGAAACCGAGAAGTTATTAAGACAAAAAGGGTAAAACGGTAGAAAATATCTGAAAAAATATAAATTTAATTTCACCTTTTAAGCTTTTTATTTAACTTATATCCAATTACTTAGAAAACAAGAGAAGGATTCTCCACTGAATAAATAATAATTCCTGGTTTAATTTTTTATATATACGTTTAAATTATTCATTTTCAATGAAAAACTCCCATTTTAAAAGGAAAAAAAAATAATTTATTTTCTAGAAAAAAAAGAAAAATAATAAAAAATATATGGCTTAGTGCCGCACCCGCTAAAATATCCAGATATTCCATCCGAAACGTCGTCGTTTTAAGCCTTTTCTGAGCTCCCTTATCCAATATTAATAACCCACGGCGTAGCTCTGTGTTGCTTTTCAGACCAGGAGTGAGCAGAGTGCTGTGAGCGCCGGCCATGGCTCTGGTTCGTCTTCCTTGTTCTTCCTCCTCCTTATTCCTTCGTTCTAATCAACAGAATCTGGTGTTTATCTCGCCTCTCTCATGTCCGCAAAATCCATCTTATTCCAACAATGGCGATATCAAACTCTCTCTTTCGCGCTCTTCTTCCTCGCTTTTCTCTACTCCCCTCGGCCACAATCCTTTAGCTTCCATTAGGGCTAAGAGAACCAGAAAGTTTGTTTTCCAGTTGGCCTCGACCTCCCAAGACGATGCGGTTGCGAGCTCTTCTTCTGATGCTGAGGAATTTTCTCGAAACAGATTGCTTGCTCAGAACGTGCCTTGGGATTCTACTCCTGAGGATATTCGTTCTTTGTTTGAGAAATATGGTACTGTCGTAGACGTGGAGGTATGTAACTTCAGTTTATTTCTATTGCCATTTCTGTTTGACGCATTTGGTTTATTGCGGATTTATGATCGGTCTTTTTCTCTCAGCTTTCAATGTATAACAAGATCAGAAATAGGGGCTTGGCGTTTGTCACAATGGGATCACCTGAGGAGGCCCTTGCGGCAGTTAATAATCTCGAATCGTATGTAAGCAGGATGCCGTTTTTCTTAGCTTGATCATTTTTCGTTTGTCTCATTGTGTTCAAGTTCGTACCCGAGGCTTAGAACAGTGTTTACCTTTCACCATGGAAGAATAGTCGTAATAGCAATTGAATGCGTTTGAATTAAGGAATAGTTTGATTTGCTTGTGTGAGATGGAACGTGAGATCCCACTTCGGTTGGAGAGGGGAACAAACATTCTTTGTAAGGGTGTTGAAACCTCTCCACGCGTTTTAAAAACCGTGAGACTGACGGCAATACGTAACGGAAGCGGACAATATCCACTAGCGGTGGGCTTGGACTGTTACAAAAAGCGGACAATATCCACTAGCGGTGGGCTTGGACTGTTACAAAAAACGGACAATATTCACTAGCGGTGGGCTTGGACTGTTACAAATAGTATCAGAGCCCGGGTGGTGTGCCAGTGAGGACGATAACTCCCAAGGGGGTGGGTTGTGAGATCCCACATCTGTTGGAGAGGGAAACGAAACATTCCTTACAAGGGTGTGAAAACCTCTCTCTAATAGAAGTGTTTTAAAAATTGTGAGGTTGACGGCGATACGTAACGGGCCAAAGCGGACAATATCTACTAGCGATGGGCTTGGACTGTTACATGGAAAAATTGATGAACCGGAAGAACTCAATTATAAATTTGCATCCTGCTTGTGTCCAGTGTGTTGCAGTTTCTTTTAAATTTTGCTTCTTTAGTGCTTTTGAATATATTACAAGGGAACAAGTTATTGACTAAAATTTTTCAGTTCTCCTTGTCACTATGGGTTGAAGCAAAGTACATGGCCTTTCCATTCATTTCAAAACTTTTATGATGAATCTTCTGATGCATTTGGCTCTCACTCCCAATTATTGCAGGTGTTTATGGGCAATGCCCATGTCCTTTCGAACTCTTGTTGGCTTTTTATTGAATGAAATAGTTCACATGAATGCAGGAATTTGGGGGTCGTACCCTGAAGCTCAATTATGCCAAGGTTAAAAAAGAGAAACCCTCCCCTCCCGTGAAACCAAACCCCGTTACTTTTAATTTGTTTGTTGCAAATTTGCCATTTGATGCAAGAGCGAAGGACCTCAGGGAGTTCTTCGATTCGGGGAGTGGGAATGTAGTTTCTGCACAAATTATTTTTCACGAGAATCCAAGAAGGTCTTCTGGATATGGTTTTGTTGCATTCAAAACAAAGAAGGATGCCGAAGCAGCTATTTCCGAGTTTCAAGGGAAGGTAATTTCAGTATATTGCTACCACAATTTTTAAATGAATAGCCATAGAATCATTAAAATGTGAGTATCAGCATTCTTATGGTTCTTCATCTGCTGAAATGCAGAATTTCATGGGAAGATCACTTCGTGTTGCACGTAGTAAACAGTTTGTGAAACTTCCCTCAGAAGAGAAATCCCAATCTGAAGATACATCAACTGATGGCGTGGAGCTAGCCAGTGCTGCTGCTGAAGTTTAAAATTCAGAAGCCTCTCACTGGAGGAACTAAGGAGTTTGCTATCAACCTTTCTTTCTTTTTCTTGTTCTCTATCTTTTTTTGGAGGTAATGCTATCTAGTTATTCAATTAAGGAACACATCACTTTCCCTTTTCTTTTACCTATAAATCTCCTACCTCTAATGTTTAGATGATTCAAAGTTGGATACCCCAACAAAAAACGCTCATTAGATCATTTACTGTATCCTTTTCTCTATATGAAGTCTTAATGGTGATTTATCAATGCACGTTAATGTAATTGAGTTTAGCATTTAGTTAATGAATGAATACAAATGAACTAGGTTTTATAGTTGAATTGGCATCTTATGACTGTTTAGGTTCGAGGGGAGTTATTCCATTGCATAGTCACAGTATTGTATTGATTCAAGAACAAAGGACAATCAGTGCAATTTGATCCATGCGTGTTTGCTTTACATAGATAGGTGGGTGGAGAAAGCAATCCCAAAATGAATTTTTGTTCATGTGTACTATATTGCATGATCTCAGCATTGTACTTGCATTCACATTCATGTGTACTATATTTCATAATTGAGAACATTGAAGGACAACTTGTACAATTTGATTCTTTTTCTTTAAATTGACAAGTGTTTGGTGGGGTGGGGAGGAACAATTCCTCCATCTTTTCTCATTCATTTGTGCTATATTTTGCATAATCACAGGGTTATACTGAATCGATAACATTGGAGAACAGTCTGCCATTTGTTTGTTTAGATGATTCATTTCAATGCTTTAGGAAATCTAGTGCTTTTGAGTTGATGCATTTGAGTGAACATTTGTTGATTCATATTTCATGAATGCTGGCTATCCCTTCTGTGTGAAGATGCAATGGATAGATATTATCCTCAAATGCAGTGTTGATTGTTTGTTCTTGTTCAAGCCATAATAAGTTTGAACTTGTTCATTAGAGCTTCATATATTCTTCATATTACTATATTGTTTCTTTCTCTTCCCCTTTTTTCTATGAAGGTGGCATGCGGGTCGGGTTGGAGTTATGGCGTAAGTTGCGTTCGACTGTGTTTTCAAGCCTGGTTATAATTTCTTTCTTTATGTCTCTGTCATTCTCTCAAATACTCTTTAGTACCAAACCTTTATATGATTCATTCTGAGCTTTGGCGAATACTTGCTTAGACATGTTGTTTTCCTTTTCATTTAAGTTGTCTTCTGTGTTCTAGTGGAGTCCTTACCTCTCAAGCTATGGTTCTAGTTGGGTTCATCATCTTGAGCTAGGAAAGGTTGATTGTCCTTTGAATAGATGTTTTTCCATCTTGTTCAACACCAAGGTTAGAACATTCTTGTCTCGACTTCTCAGTGAAAAGAAGACGAACGATCGCCTATGAATTAGGTACCAATCCGATTCCATAGAATTTCAAGTAAATAGCATCAAAGGAATACCATTTCCGTTCCCATTGATTTCATTTTGATAAAATTGGAACGATATAGAGAAGATTAGCATGGTCCTGTACAAGGATGACATGAACAAATCGAGAAATGGTATGAGAGCTAATTTTTAGGTGGTGTGCCAGCGAGGACGCTGGCCTCCTAAGGGGAGTGGTTAGTTGGAGATAGGAACAAAACATTCCTTATAAGTGTGTGGAAACCTCTCCCTAGTAGACGTATTTTAAAAACTGTGAGGTTGACGGCAGTACGTAACGGGCCAAAACAGACAATATCTATTAGCGGTAGGCTTAGACTGTTGCAAATGCTCATTTCGATTCATTTTTCATTTTGATTCCGAGCAATCGACGATTGATGCGTTGCCCAAATCTGGCATGGCATTGGGCAGTTTTGCTGGGGGTTCCAGGCAGGGAGTTGTGGAGAATAACAGTGGTGGGGTGGTTGGGCTTGTTTGTGTAGGGAAGGGGCCCCATGAAAGCCCCCAACAACTCACGTGGAATTATGTCTACGGCAGTGCACAAATTAGGGATGGTAGAGCCAAACCACCACCCAGATTTGTTGATTTAGACAAAATAATGCACACACACAGTTCATCTTCCATGTGAGTCCTTTTTTACTTTTTGACTCTTCCTGGTTTGGTGGAATGTTATATCATAACCAACCACATTTCCATTCATGGACTAAGGTTTAAAGTTCATCAAGATATCTATCTTATAAGGGTTCGATTTGTCACAATTTGGTTACTTTTAATTTCTCTCTTCGTTATTTGTATCTTTGCAGATAAGAAAACGAGCTAAATCAGGATTAGTCGGCAAGTTTTCTAGTTGGGACTGTGACAATCTGTCAATAAGTTCTCCTCTCCTCATTCTTAGTTTACAAATATTTTAAGTTAAATTAATATAAACATTTCCAGACTTCTGAATTCTGCATTTTTAATAATACTTGAGTACTTTCATCAGGGTTTTTGTTTAAAAAATGTCATTGAACTTTCAAAAGTTTTATTATGTAACCGTCCAAGCCCATTGCTAGTAGATATTGTTTGCTTTAGCTTGTATTGTCGTCAGCCTCATGGTTTTGAAATGCGTATGTTAGTAAGAAGTTTTCACACTCTTATAAGGAATGTTTTGTTCCCTTCAACAACTGACGTGAGATTTCACAATCCACTCCCTTGGGGCCAACGTCTTCGCTAGCACATAATCTGGTGTCCGACTCTGATACCATTTGTAACAGTCCAAGCCCACAGTTTTAAATATTATCCATTTTAGTCTGTTATGAATTGTCGACCTGTCTATTAGGGAAAGGTTTCTACACCCTTATAAGGAAACAGTTTTAAAACGCTTCTATTATGGAGAGGTTTCTACTCCCTTGTAAGGAAATTAAAACTCATCTATTAGAAAGAAGTTTTTATACCCTTATGAGTAAATAATTTTAAAACACGTCTATTGAGGAGAAGTTTCTAAACCCTTGTAAGAAGTATTTTGTTCTTCTCTACAACTAACGAGGAATCTCATACATTAATACCTTAATTTTTTCAAACCTACCTACCTAAAGAAGTTCAACAAATACTCCTACGGTTAATATATGAACGGAATAGATAACGTAGCATTAGATATCTTTAATTTAGCTTATATTTTAATAAAATATAAGGTTTAGTAGACATGAAGCATTCATTATACATCATGCCATGCCACCTCCAAAGGATAATTATAATCCCAAAGGACTTTCTACCACAACAACCGCCACCTTGATCCCAAAGAAATGGCACCAAAACTATCATTGTCTGGACAAATAAAATGAAGCCACCTTCACATGCATTCCTTCATTTGCACACAATCTCCTACGCCATTGACTCCTCTCATCAAATTTGGCCCAAAATACATGTAAACACTTGTTCACCTCTTTCCCTATGCACATAATTTACCCCTTTTTCTTTTGTCTTCCAACAGCTTAGCAAAGGAAATAATGGTTTCTTCAAGATATGGTAACCTAAATCAACATATTATAAGCCTTGTTCATACCATACTGTTCATCAATCTTTGAACCCATTAAAGGGTTTCAAAAACCTAAGAGTAATTTCAAACTTTCTTCATTTAAAGAACTAAATTCCCCAAATTCCCATTATGATGATACTGAAAAGTACTTGGCTCAAAGTATTAGGTAAAAAGTATTTGTTAAGTTATCCCCCACACCACCAAAATTGTTTGAATTAAGACCAAACTTCACTGACTCTATTAACCAACAACTCCCCCTTCTTCCCCATTATATATATGCAAAGCCTTCAATCCTCTGTTTCCATCCTCAGATCTCTGCCTTGCCCCCTCTATTCTACTTGTTAAATTTGTTACCTTCTAATGGCGAGCTTCCATGGTGGACTTGTTTGCCTCCTGGTTCTTGGGTTCTGCATGGTGCACCCGACCTCGGCTACTGTCTATACTGTCGGAGATACTTCTGGTTGGTCTCTCGGTGTTGATTATGGCACGTGGGCTTCTGCGAAGAACTTTGTCGTCGGCGACAAACTTGGTTTGCTAATGATTCTTCTGTTTTTTTCTCATTTGGGTGTTGTTGAATTGATTTCATGTATTTCATGCATTTGTATTTTCTTGTGTTCACCTGTTGTTTCTGTTAGAAATCACGATTCTACACAATGGTATGATATTGTCCACTTTGAGCATTAACTCTCGTGGCTCATACCAGTAGAGATGTATTCTTTACTTGTAAACTCTGTGTGATCATTCCCTAAATTAGCAGACTCGAACAGCTTTTGTGAAGTCGTATATGCTCATATTCATCTCTTGTTTCTCATGGAAATAACGTCGAACAGCTTTTGTGCATTCGTATCTGCTCATATTCATCTCTTCTTTCTCATGGGAATAACGTCGAACAGCTTTTGTGCATTCGTATCTGCTCATATTCATCTCTTCTTTCTCATGGGAATAACGTCGAACAGCTTTTGTGCATTCGTATCTGTTCGAATGTTTTTTTACTTTTTCTTGTGGGAATAACGTCGAACACCTTTCGAGCATGTGTATTTGCTTATATTTCCTTCTCGAATTTCTTCGTGACAGCGTTCAACTATGCTGGAGGCCACACGGTGGACGAAGTTAGTGCCAGTGACTACAAAGCATGCTCGGCTGGAAGCTCCATAACTTCCGACAGTTCAGGCTCCACCACCATCACCTTAAAAACCGCCGGGACTCACTACTTCATTTGCAGCTCCATGGGGCATTGCGATGGCGGCATGAAACTCTCCGTCACAGTCGCTGCTGCCGGAGGATCGTCCACTTCTCCGTCGTCAGGGGGCGGCAGCTCCACCACTCCGACGTCCCCGGCAAGCGACACCCCTTCCGTCACCGGAACCACGCCGACGACGAAGCTTCCAGCTGGTTCGTCGAATTCAGGGTCGTTTCTTTCCCCCAAATTCTACGCGATTTTGGTAGGTTTATTGGTGTTGGCTGTGGGTTATTAAGAAATTGAGATTATATGCGTAAATGTTTCTGAGATTTGAGATCGGCGTTGGTTTGAATGTTGCCGGTTCCCGGTTGGTCTATTTTCCACACACTTATTAGTAAATTAATTTTTCATTTTAAAGCTAATCAGAAATTTATAGCTGAATTAATTAAATTAAGGAATCAAATTAAAAACTAGGGTTAGGGTTTTGGGGGAGGAAACCCTTCATTGGAGACCAAGTTCAAACACGGAATTTAAATTAATATTTAAATAAAATTTATGGATTTAATGTTTTTTGGGGAATACAAAAAGTAAAACTTTTATTTTTTTTTAATTAAAAAAAACGAAAAGAGGTCATTTTTAGCCAATAGATTAAAAAAAAAAAGGTTAAAAGAAATGAAATAATATTATTATCTGAACTTAAAAGATCTTTTTTACCGTTTCTAGAACATGACTGAAAAAATGAAAAGAAAAGAAAAAAAATCCTTTTAGAAATAAGAAAAATAAGACCATGAATGAAGAAATTAAATGGGCCAAATGGGCCCAGGGCCCAAAAGCAGTGGGCCCAAAGGGGGGAACCTGTTCGCGTTTTCTTTTGAAAAAGACGAAGTACCGTTGAAAGGCACATGGAGAAAGCGTAGGCGCGCACAAAGCGACAGCCTACAACCCCTTTGCGTTTGTTTGGTTCCTTTTTCATTATGAATCCCCAATTTTTTTAGAAAAAGAGGGATATGCCTAACAGAAATATTCACAATCACCAGCTGTCTTCGACTCCATTATTATCACCTTCCCCCTAAAGTTAATTCTAAAGCTTTTAACATAGTTCTGTACCTTCGCCGCCGTGGCGCCGCCGCTACCGTCGCTTCGATGTGCGGAAATTCAGTACATGGAGGAAAATGAGAACACAGAGATCCGGCAGATTAAGAGAGAATATGAGATCTAATAAGTAATAGTAATGACAATGAGAGTGAAGCAAATCGACTCGAGAACAGTAAAACCAAGAAATCCAAATAAATGACAACAATCATGAAGCGGTCACCGTCTAATCCTCTCGGATCCTAAGTACACCAAAAATAAAAGTAAATAAAAAATATACTAAGAAAACTACAGCAACGACTAATGCCGATAATGAAACCCTAAGATCTGCGTCTCCAGAGGAGAGCCAAGAGTGAAGACAGACCGATTACATTTAAAGCAGTAGAGCAGAGGAAATTACAGCCACGATGATAGATCCAGAGACGGCGATTCTGTTCACAGCACCACCATTGCCAGGAGTGGAGGCCGGCGACGGAGCCAGAGCAGGAGGAGTTGAGATCGAAGGATTTGGAACTGGAGTTTGTGCTGGTGACTCCGAAGGAGCAGTAGGCGGAGCCGGTGGAGAAGTAGCCGGCGACATAGCAGGTGGTGAAGTTCCAGTGGAAGGAGATGGAGCCGCGCCGCTCGGAGCAAGGGACGAAGACGGTGATGAAGCCGGAGGAGTCGCCACAGTAGGCGAAGGAGCCGATTTAGGCGAGGAGACCGGCGGCGACTTGGTTGGAGAAGAGGCCGGTGCAGCGCCCGGAGCCTGGCCCAAGGAGCCGGCGATTAAAGCGACGAGGACGACGAAGACAAAGGCGGAGGAGGAAGCCATGGCCGTAAAAATGCAAAGAGAAGAGGGAAGAACCCGAAAATGGAAGATGGAAGCGAAGTTTCAGTTGCAGAGATTGAGGATGAGAGAAGACGAGGGTTCTACAAAGGCTTATAAATATATATATATATAGAAACACACGCGTCGGCGCGTGTGAATCCTGAAGGGAAGAAGAGAAACTGAGGAGTTGCCGCGTCGGCTAGAGTTAGTTTTGACGGTGTTAAGAGCTGTCTAAGGGTTTAAGGTTTGATCATCACGAGGCCATAAAAACTTTTTAATTAACGGTAACGGATAACGGACCTAGTTACCCTTTATGAGTTTTCTTTTAATTAAAAAAATATTATTATTGCAATAATAATATATTATTTAAAAAATGCAATTTAGCTGTGGGAGAAATTTGGTAAGGCTGATATCATTTATATTAGCCCAAACTTATTGCTAGTACATATCGTCCCGTTCCCTTATTGTGGCTTTGATAGGCTGATATCATTATATCAACCCAAACCTATTGCTAATAAATATTGTCTGCTTATTGTGGCTCTGATAGGCTGATAACATTTATATCAGCCTGATAACATTTATATCAGGCCAAGCTTATTGCTCATAGATATTGTTTGCTTATTGTGGCTCTGATATCATTTATAATGGCCCAAGTTTACTGCTAGTAGATATTATCTTTATTGTGGCTCTGATATCATTTATAACATCCCAAGCCTACTACTAGTAGATACCGCTTTAGCCTGTTACCTATCACTACCAATGGTTTTAAAATGGGTCTTATATTAGAGAGAAGCTTCCACACCCATATAAGAAATATTTAAGATCATTTTTTAAGGAGAAAATTATAAAATTAATATTAGGTAGATTTTAAATTTATTTCAAATTGTCAGGTGAAAAAGAATTCTAAGGAATAAAAAAAAAAAGGTGCTGCTAAAAAAGATTTTCAACGAATAATAATAAATAAATAAATAAAAGATCGATTTCTTTATATAATATTAGGATAAAATAGATACAAAATTTTATGTGTGTCTTAATTGAAGTAAAAGAATGTCTTTTTCGGCTAGAACTTGGTAAATGTATTTTTTTTTGTAAATTTTAAATATTTAATTTTTTTTATTACATAATTATGAATAATAAAATTATATTATAAAATTACCCGAGGTAGCATCAGTTTGTTACTCTAGCAGGATTAAATAATAAATAATTAATCTTTTCAATCATTTAGTTAAATTTAGACATTTAAAAGAACAAAAATTAAAATAGAACAAATTTTAAATTACGTAAATAAAAATGATATTTTAACCTTTTTTTTTTTTAGGTAAAACATGGATAAAATTTAAATTACCTAGGGTCAATGGCAGATATTTAAACAGTAAAATTGAAATTACCAAGAAGAATTGTTCCCAAATATGATGTTGAGTGAAGAAGGAACAGTGGGATTTTGGGGCAAAGAATTTGATCATTTACCCACACAATTGTCCCACCATTAATGCACAAAAATATTCTTGAGATCGTCCCACTCCCTCCTTGTTCTTGAACCACTACGACAAAGAATAAGATGAAGAATCCAACTGATTCATTGCTTACAACAACAACTTCGACATACAAATTTATGCAACATGAATACCAAGAACTTAATTTATTTCTTGAATTTCCACAAATATGTATTTTATATTATCTTCGTAATATTTTTTTTGTTGGTTTGATGCATAATGAAATACGTATAAAATTCTATCTTTATGGTAAGGCTCGTAGTTGACAAAACTATATTTTATTTCTAGAAATGAACCCACTATTATAGTCGTCCTTTGTTCTATTTGTTGAAGGAGGTGACGAAATAGGAGCTATAGTGCTGTTTAACGCTAAAACAAATAAACTAACTAACATACGCATAATTTAACTGATATAAAATATAAAATTTGAATCAAGAGATCAAAAGTTCGAGAACCCATTTCCCATATTATTGAACTAAAAAGAACAAGAAACTCGATACCCAAAAAAGACCAACGGGTTGGAAGAAAAAACAAAAAATAAAAATAAGAATATCAGAACTACGATATTCAAAGACCAAGGTTAGATCTATAGTAGGATTTAACTCACCTCCTTCCGATATTATATGTTTTAATTCCTAACATTTAAAAGTTTCAATTACCTAAACCTTTTAAAGTGAAAAAAAATGCTGAAAAAAAAATGAAAGAGCAGTTTCTCAGCACTTAAATTTTGGAGATTTAAACTGTGATGTCCCACATTGGTTGGGGAGGAGAACAAACCACCATTTATAAGGGTGTGGAAACCTTCTCCTAGCAGACGCGTTTTAAAGCTCCTTGAGGGGAAGTCCGAAAGGGAAAGCTCAAAGAGGATAATATCTGCTAGCGGTGGATCTAGGCCGTTAGATAAATATAACTTTTCCCCAACACTAATAAACAGAATCATAGGCCAAGAACAGTGTCCTGTATTTTAAGGGAACGGAGGCCTAAAGCCATTATTGAATCTAGTTGTAGAAAAGAAAAGGGTAAGGGAAGGGAAGGGAAGGGCAGGGCAGCTATTGATAGTGGCAATTGGGTTGTCACCGTGTGGGCCGGTCGAGATGATAGTTGTCACAGCCAAAAAGCAGGAATAGAATAATTACGACATTGTCACTCCTTGTGACATTCCACGTATTGTGGTTAAGGAAAGCACCAGTCTCCAGTCACCACTATCACCTAAAAAAAAACACCTTTTTTTTTTTTTTTCTATAGAAATAGCAAGAGGGCAGCTGTCCCCTGCCCTGCCTTTTTCAACCGTACATATTTATTTCCCACAAATTTTCTTGACACGTGTTTCTTACCCCTATCTTTTTTTGACCTTTTTTTCAACTTTATTCATTTCTTCCCTTATTGGTTAAGTTTTTGAGACTTGAATGCTGTGATCCCTAGTCTCTTACTTATATATAACCTGTAGCGCTGTAGGCTGTTGTTGTAGTCTAGATTTCCATATGATTACTATCTAATATTATTGTATTCATTTTATTTGACATAATACTAACATAAATTTCACCGGACGGTTTATAATTTTGTCGTTGAACAAAGTACCAAACAATAACCATCCAGTTTTTCTAGGTTAAGAATTTGTTCTAATTCTATTTTTCTTTTGTTCGGAGAATATTCTATTAGAGTTCAATCCATGAATGTGAAATGGTTGATGAAGACCACTCTTTATCACATCATAAAGGTCCCTTGAGCTATCTCGAGCTATCCTCGTAATCTTTCTATTAGAAAGAAGAGTAGTGGCTATGATCTTTATCACCCAAACCATATTGCTAAGAAATCGAGGCTCATCATTTTTTGTTTCATATTCAAATATTCGTCCAAGCAAAACTCTCATAAACCTTGTGAGGACACTTCTAACTAATGAATGATAATGTTTGTATTCCTAACAATTTTGTTTCAATACCGAGGGTTAAAATTAATCTAGCTCTTTTATGGAGAAATTGAGGAGGTTATACAGAGATTTTTGTCAGACCTGCTCGTATGGTACCTAATAATTCTCTGGTATTTCACTCAACTAAGAAATTATACCGGTATGAACTTTGTTCTCTTTATTTCAACTAGGACCATAGATCTTGAGTTTCTACACGAATCAAGATCGAGTTTCTACATGAATCAAGATCAAGTTTCTTGAGAAAAGGAAGTTTGCTAAGACTTCCATTTATTTTAGAAGGATGCATTTCAATCGGTCAAAGACGAAAGTAACAAAAATCATAAAAAAGACCTTCTAAAATAGATACCTAATGATCATAATTTTATTCACTTATATCTAATTGTTGAAAGTAATTGCAACAATGAACAACACTCTAATCTGTTTCAGAAGAAAAAGAAAATTCTTTCCCAATATGCTATAAACATAAAACAGGTACCTGAATTCCATGCCGAGGATAGCTCTACACGTCCTCCATTAGATTGCATAATTTATTTCTTCCACGATACTTCGATTGTCATGTTGTACAGAACTTGATTCATCTGCCTAATAATGGTTTGATTAAATATAGAGTTAGTATCAAAGAAGTTCATTTTCTAACTTGGCTTTCAGAAGAATTGAGGAATAGGGAGCCAAATTATAGGTGCTTCCAATGCCCCGAATGCCATCCAATACAAAGTCTTGGGGAGACTCCAGATTGGTGTCCACCTGCATGAGAAGCGAAAACCCGTAAGAACTAATTCACGAACACGGTTTGAAAAATATGCAGTTCTACCAAGTTAATTCAAGCCTAAAGCAACTCAATGGAAGTTGGACAGAAATTAGAAGCAACAAAATGGCAAGAGAGAAACTAACCACACGGAACCATTTTCGATTTGTTGGAGGAGAGGGTAATGAAACACTGACAAAATAATCATGAGCATTGAATGCCAAGTAAACGTCTTCTCCATTACCATCATGAAGCCTGTAAATACTAGAAATCTTCAAAGCATAGAACATAGATTCCCAAAACAGTTTGCATGACCAATTTTGTGCACATCTACATGAAGCCAGTCCCAAGAAGGTGGGCTAAACATAGCATAAAGTTCCATGGCTTGATATCCGTTAAGTGAGTATACATATACACATCTTTGACAAACCTGTTCTCTAAGACCTGCCGGTTCATTTTCTCCCATCTATTTTTGTTCTTTTGGGAGGGAAGGCGAGGAAAAGTACTAAATGCAGATTATAGAGTCAAATCCTCCTATGCATACCAGCAAAAGGCCAATAGGCATTTACAAACAATAACACAAGCTATGCATCAAAATCTTAACTATTTAATCAAGTACCAAGGGCTTCTTTCCATTGGTTTCACAAGGGCGCTGTTCACACTAAGCTATCAATACTATCCCAGATTGAATGACAATAAGAGTTCATGTTCAATCTCTATGGTAGGTGATACTCAATTGAGGTCCATACACGTCCATTATATTAGTTGCTCAGTACAAGCACGATGTGGTGGGAGTGTGCTGTTTTTGCTTATTCAGTAATAAAATCAACATTAAAATGCTGCTGAAATTTGCACCTCATGCATAATGGACTTGACGAAACAAACATGCATTTTAGAGTTTAGCATAATTCAAGAGTGCTTACGTGTAGGCAAGAAATTTACTTTCAGG